CATAAATTTCTTCTTCCCGTGCTTATCGACCGTGTCGACCCGCGAACAATACCTCGTCGTACGTACGCTCCTCGTCTAACAATCGCCCATCTTTTTCGAACCTCCACGATGATGTCTCAATAGATGTCTGCTCGTGTCTCCTCTCCGGTATTTAAAACGATTCTCGTTCCGTGTTTCACGGAAATTCGTCCAACGATTTAGGATTTCGCGTTTTATCGTCTCTCGATAATAAACTCGAGTCTGTTAAACGGGGACTCTAAAAATAACCGATAAGGATTTACGAATAATCAATTCATTCGTGGCGAAGAAGGAAAAGTGCTCGATCGTAAAGAGATTCGAAGAGCTGGAACTTTACAGTCTCGCGCGGGACTCGTTATATTCCAACCGAACCTATTAAAAGAGCAGTTGTCTCGCTGAATCTTTTTGATTCGTAACGACTCGCCGCGAACAAAACTCGCCGCGATCTTGGGAACATTGTAATTCAAAGATTCTTTCTTCCACCACGGGGAGGACGGGGGAAGGAGAGGTGCAAATTTCGCGACGGAAGAAGAAGAAGAAAAAGAAGAAGAAGAAGACATCGGAGAGGGACGGAAAATATAATACGTGGTAGTCGGGCAATGGAACAGGTTTCCACACGCGTGTCATAAAAATATATCCACGTTGGGCCCGGGATCGGTGACTAATGGCGGGGGTTGCTTTTATCCTTTTACGGCGAAAAGCCGGAGTAAAAAATCGTGTACCCGCCGGGGATTAAAGGTCCTTACGTGCCCTAATAGCCCGTAATTGAAAGGGGTCTACGTGGTAGGGAAGATTCTTTACTCGACATCTTTATGCGGCGTGACGCGACGCGGTCGGCCGTCCTTCCTCTCCTCCTCCTTCCCTCCTTTTCCCAAATAATCGCTCGAATCGTTCGGAGGAAAGACGATATATATATATATATATAAAAATATATATGTAAACGAAGAAAATCCAAGTAACGACGGGGGCTCTCTCTCCCTCTCTTAATGGCGATGCCCGAACCGATGGCGGCCACCGATCGTAACCGCGTTTAATCTCCTGATTATAAGTTGCCGTTAATTTGACGAGCAGTAAATCAATTCAAGCTTCTTCCTCGCTCGGGGATAGGGAAGAGGCAAGAATGATTCCGCGAATAAATCTTCCCGCCACCGTGTACTCAAAGCCCACCGTTCATTCTGATTTATGAATCGATCGTTATCACTTTACGCGAGGGGAGAGAAGAGAGAGAGAGAGAGGAGGGAGGGAGGGAGGGAAGAGGAGGAAGATAGATAGATCGAAAGCCTCGAATTCGTCAACTTCTTTTCTGAAACGTCATCGGGGAAACGAGCTGTGCTCCGAGTTGTGAGCCACTGCCGTTCTTCTTCACTGGCGTATCATTCATTCGACCACTCGAATACGAGATACGCTCTCGAAAGGAGGCTCTGTCCGATGAAATTTGCCTCCGGTCGTGTTAACACGCGAAGGGACGATTACTCGAAATAAAGAAACGCGAAATTTCTTTCTTCAGAGAAAACGGCCCCAAGATATTAATGGCTAATTCCATTCCACTCGTCTCGCCTGTTCCCTCGCTCTACTCGTTAGAAACGTTGGATCAGAAGTGGAGGCGAGAAACCTACTCTACCTACCAACGACTCCCTGAAACGATCGTATCCGTACAAACACGAGCGTTTTTAATAAAGCAAGGTCGAAAACAACGGTATCGATTGAATCGTCACCTCGAGAATTCGCGCAAGGGACTCGAGTCGGTGGAAGTTAAAAAGTCGGGGAGGATAGTGGCGCGATCCTGTAAGAAACACGTTTTAGAAACGAAGAGGTAACCGAGCCGATTAATGGCACTAATGGTATATCCTTTACGATCTGTTAATTCCAGTAGGATCTTAAACCCCGGCCATCTCCTCCTTGATATTAACATATTAAACGCGGTACGCCGTTGATCTCGCCGCTGATCCGCAATTCCGCTCCCCGTTCAATCAGCTTTTATACGAAAATTCATTACCAGAAATGAACGCGCGAGCCACCGCTAATAAGAGCGCATTCCCAATAATGAAATTGCCGTTGCGTTCGCCCGGCCTCCCCTCTAAACTCACCGTATACCTGTTTATAATCGTTGCTCGACGATAGACGAGTCGCGAAAACGGAAAAACGGTTATCGCAAGGAGACGATTATTCTTTTCCCTCGATAATAAACTGGAAACGATATGAAGCGATATAAGCGGGCATCGAAGCAGGTGCATCGTTCCGAGAGAAAATCGGGCGGTCGGCTCCCGCCGACAAAAGCGGTTACTATCGGCGGGACGATACGCTATTATTGCCTCCATTAGTCGTTAATATATGCAAAATATCCTTATTATAATGTCGGGGCGGCGAGAGAAGCGCGCGCTTCGATACGAATCTGCCCGCGGACCCGCGTCAACCTTGATCGAGTTAACGCTCGTCTCCTCTAATTATTTCGTGCTCGTCGCTTATCTCCGCTATTCCCGCCCCTCCTCGATAATTTAACGAGCCGACTTGGCGCGATTCGTTTCCCGCAACAACACGCTCCTTCTCGCGATTCCGCTTAATTTCCCTCCCTTTATCACGCCCGCCTCTCCTCGATCGGGATTATCCGCCTTCGAGGGATTTCAATTAAGCCGTGACACTTCCCGTAATAATTTGTCCTTATCTGAGGAGGAAAAGGCGGCTTCGAAGGAGGGGGGATAGATAGGATCGTTCCGGGGAAAGGCGAAAATTTTACTCACTTTCTCGATTTGAAAAAAATTTACCATTATTACGATTATCGTTATTACGATTATCGAAGCGAAAGCCTCGTCTATTAATTTGACACTCGCTCGGATCTTTCGATATATCCGAGGGAAGATTCGAGGCACGCGCTAACAGCGCGTTACGCGCGTTTTACGACTTAATTAACGGCGCGTGGAATACAGGCAGATAGCGGGAGTAATAAAACGAAATTGGGAACGAGTATATTATCACCACTGGATCATCAACATTTACAATCAAAGCGACACGATTGTTTTATCGCGCATTGTGTATACGTAATTTTTACGTCTGGTATCCACCGCGATGTGGTAATCGCTCGAAAGGAATTTCGATATTATATTCGGGAGAGGAGTTATTGCGCGGGTGCAGTTTCCTATGAAGGAGGAAGGTCGTGGAAGGGGCGGGAATTCGGGTGCGTCCCGCGGCGCGATACAAATGCGTGAGATGGGAGGACGGAATTTGATCGAGAGGTGGGTTGCTGTGGAAAAAATTACGACCTTCTTTCGGAGTGCGCGAGAAGGAATTACGATCGGCTCACCTCGAAGCGCGGAAACGGACACCGGGATATTTGTGACCGAGCCACTGTCCTCCTACGTGCCACCGTTCCAACGAATGTCTTCCTCGCGCCCGCCATTAACGCGCTCCACGCTTCGATGCGGTAGATCGAAACGTTCCCTATCTCTCTCTTTGTCTCTTGGGTTCCGTTGTATCGAGAGGGATCGTAAAATATCCTCGCGATATATTGTCGATGATGCGTCCCGCCTTCGAACGTGATTCGAATTGTTCTTGATAGACGCGTCTTCTTTTATCGGAATCATCGAAACATTAATAAGAAATGGGAGGGAACGAGTTTGTGTCAATCCGACGCACAAGCTTCTCTTGTATCTCTTTAGCTACTAGATTTTCTCATAAAGCGATTTATCGATTCGATCGTGGGGTGGTCCCCGGTTTATGATCAATAGCCGAGTGTAACGCGTCGGGAGTATAACTTTGCATTCGTACACGCGTTGCTCCGCACTCCTGTAACTTTCTATATAAGGCGGTTCGTAAAAGCTGGCGAGCGATACTCGTTTAAGGTTTCGAAAGCCTATTGACATAACGGCGAACACGAAGGTCCCTGTTGACCTTAAAAGGAACCCATCTCGGCTTGTTTCAAATTTTGTCTTAAATCGGTACCAACTACTTCACCGACATCTCGCGTACGATTAACCAACCATTCTTCCAACCATTCGTCCAAATCGGTCTCTCTATTCTTTTTTTCTTTCTGCTTCGGGATGGATTTTTCGCGCGAGATCATTCACATCCACGATGTATCCTTCGTGGAACGAAAGGAGGGGAGGGAGAAAGGAAGAAGTGGAACGGGTTGGTATGTGGTCGAGAGAAGGCTATCTACTACGAGTGTACGCGGCTCGCCCTCGCAAATCACACACCGGTGTATGCATTGAAATGCGAAATGGTGCAGACCGCCCAGCTACCATAACTCCGATTAGTTAAGACGCGCTTCGGCGATGTAATGCATGTGCGGGCCCGGCCGGCCAACATGTGTTACACCCTGTGTCGTCACATATTTACGAGGGCAACGCAACGCGTTTGCCGCGGTAATTCGAGACGCGATCCCTTCCTCCCCCCTTTCTTCCCTCTCGACCAGTCTCCAGTCGTTTAATTAATCGCAGTTTCCATTTAATATACGACAAATATTTACATATTACGTATCGTAAACTACTCGTCCTAACAATTCTCCTCCGTTGTTTTCCGTTCTCGTGATTATTGGGGATTATACGCGTTCGTTTTTTTTAAAATTGCAGCGATTTACGAAGCGATTAATGGAAACGATCCGTTGACGCAACGTTTGAAAAAGGATTGTTAAAGACGGGGTTAAAGAGGAAATCTCGTTTCCCTAAGCGCTTACAAAGCGTGCAATTATCACCGGGGCCGGTGTTCGATGACAATGGGCAATTGGACGGATGGTTGGAAGGGGAGATGAAATTTCGAGACATTTTTCAAAGCGTGTTATAACCTCCTCTCGTGCAGTCTCTCATCTTCTGCGGCTCGTACGCCTCCTACCTTGCCGCTTTTAATGTTCCGTAATTGCTTTCCGTTTGCGGCCTGCGGCGAAATATATCATATACACCGCGCTCAAAGTTCGTCCAGTGGTTCGTCCGCTTCGCCAATCTTTAGGAATGACCGGTCCTTTAAATGATTTTTCACTCTTCGCCGAAGAAGGAGAAGAAACTTAAATTCGAATCCGCTATCCGAAATCTCGTTCGCTTAATTTCGAGAACTCGTTATCGAGTTTCACCTCTCCTCGATAACGCAACGTTTCTTCGGCCAACGTGTCTTTATCCCCGTCGGGGAAAAATGTTTGTTCGCGAAACATCCTCTCGTCATTATCTAGAAAAAGAAAAAGAAACAACTCGTATCGTTTCTTCTCTCTCGCGAGATAACATAATTTCGCCAGAAGTTAGATCGCTATTGACGGCAAAAATTTCGACAATCTGCCCCATAAATTTGCCTCGCCTCACCCTTACCCTCGATCCGTGTCATCCGTGCCTTGTAGCTACACGCGGGTTTATCAAAATATTTCGTGAACCGCCCGCCTTATCTGGCCGGGTTATCCACGTTTCACGGGACAACGGGCGGGAAAGATAAAAGTGAGGGGGGTTTTCCCCGGTATAAAGATTCGAGTGGATTTCGGGTTGCCGTGTTTGGGAGGCGGTCGAAAATGTGGGTTGCCGCGGGCTGACACTTACGTCGCGTTCATAAGGACGCGTGGTCGAATTGTCTCCGGCTCACAGATAAAAAGTTGATATGTGTGCGTCCCCCTCGAGAGATAAAACGGGTTCACGCCACGTGTACCGCGATCTTAAATTGGTTTCTACAAATTTATCGCCCTCGTCCCTTTCCTTCCTCCGAACCCCTACCACTTGTTGCTACTCCGCTGCTAGGATAGGATAGGATTTCTATCGCGATAGATAGGGTTTTAGAGACAGTGAAACAAGCCTTTGGAAATTTTCATATCGTCTTCACGCGAGATATTTCGAAGGATTCATGTAGGAGATTTGATCGATAAAGTCATTCCGTAACTTGGTCTCGGATTGATCCAATTCTCGGCTGAAGATGGAGGTGTGGTGGTGGAGGTTGGACGAGCAGCCTCGAGCCAAATTTGGCGATGCGTTCGCCGGATTTGTACGCGAAGAGGAGCGCAAGCAGTGCGGAGAAGAAAATCTCGCGTGAGAAGGGAGAGAGGAAGAGCGAGAAAAGGAGGTGATAAACGGAGGTGGTAAGAAGAAGCGGGCATAAATATCGTCCACGCCCAACCGTTCGAATTCGCAGCCTTGCCGAGAATTCTCTCCTTCCATCCTCCGTTTTCTTTCTCCACCGGGAGAAGACCACCACCACCACCTCGTCGCCAGTGTCGCCATCACCCATGTCCAACCAACTACCGGTTGCTCCTCGCGAGATCGTCATCGGAGCAATCGCCATCGCGGCGAAAACTGAAATAAAACGAGAGGGGAAAAGAAGAGATGGAGCGACGCCGGTGAACCAAGAGGCGAGAAAGAACGGGGGGGAAAGAGAAAGGTGGTTTTCTCTCGAAGACGAAAGACAAAAATCGGGGGAAAGGAGAGAGAGAGAGAGAGAGAGAGGGAAGAATTTGTAGCTCGCTCCTTCCAGTTTGGCGTGGTCCTATTGAAAGGCGAAGGTAAATTTACAGCTCGGGGTGGGAAGGGTGAAAATTTACTACTGGACGGTGCACGTCTACGCGAGGCGAGTCAACGGGCGACGGTAAAACTTCGCCGAAAATCGAATAATGACGGTCCTCGGCGATGCGGCCGAGAAACAGCCCGGCCCGTATTAAGTGAATAAATAATCGTTCGCGGTGCCAAACCGAGCGCCGATAGAACCTTGCCACGCCGAGCATAAGAAGGGGAGGGGAAGAAATTTATTTAAATTTTTACTACCCTATAAATAAGGGCTCCGGTATTGTACGGATCGTTACTGCTCGATCGGCGCCGGGGATCGACGTGGGATCTGCACACGCGCGGCAGCCAATCCGATGTGCATGCGCACCGAGGATTATGACGTTCCACAACGTTTAACAAATCGTGGGAATAGATTTTTTTTAAACGATTTTCATCGATGAATCGATGCGAACTTCGTCCTAGAAGAACTTTAACAATAGTCGAGATATATTTCGTTATCGCGTGCGATAACACGCGCGGAGGATTTCGTACTTGTTGCTTTATACCTTGGCTATCGATGTGGTAGTTGTATAAGGAGAAATATAAAGTAGTTAACTGTGCCAATAACAGAGTGATTTAGACGTAGGTAAGTTTTTTTCGTTTTGAATATTGATCAGAGCGAGAAACTACTACGCGTGGCTATAAGATCTTTCGCGTAAAGGTCGCGGTTGTAGATTTATCGATTCGAAATCGCGCATATTTAACGACCCCTTATAAATCCTAAGACACGAAATACGCGCCATAATTCACGCGTGTCGCGCAGTTTGTCTTCGAGTTTAATTATTTTATTTTTAAATATCGGATTTTCATCGGTGGCCGGTTTAAAGTATTGCACCAGCGCGCGTGAATCAGGCGTCGAAATCGATCGGCCCGACATTTCTCTACTTCTAGAATCACACACGGTTAGATCGATATCGGATACGGCGGGGCGTATATACAGCATCGATTACCTAATTGGGTAAAAGTTAAACGCGAGTGGAAAGATCACGCGATGTCCCGGAGATCTTAACGATCGAGTCGCTAACGAGATAGTGCCAGTTCTAGGTAGTGGCGCGTTAACGATGGGCCCCCACCGTCCGAAATATTTTATATCCGAGATACCTTCCCGTAGCGGATCCACCATTAATTTCCGAGGCACCGTCGTTTCGCGCCTAATAAATGTTCCCTTGAAAGAGTTTTGGGATCGTCAACGCGCAGTCGATTCGATAATTTACTATTTTAGCCGCCGTAAATAAGCGTATCAGGTTTATAGGAGACCGACCTTGGCCGAGGATGCTTGCCGGTGCTCGAAAGGAGGATTGTTGTAAAATAAGCCCAAGGATAAAAGTTAGAATCGGAATTACATTATCGGCCACTTTTGGCGCAATTTTCGTCCTTTCCTTCTCCTCTTTCGCTACCTCTTTTTCCTTTCTCCTTCTTATTCTTCTTCTTTCGCCCCCTTTTCTTCCCTTTATCCGTGGAAACAAAACGTCCGAGGCGGCGTAAAGGATGGTCCCACGATATCGTCTTCGTTATCGAACGGTTGACGCTGAAAATGGTAATAAAATGTACGCTGGATTTGTTCGTGGTTTTGCGGCAAATTTACGGGGAGATCGGTCGTAAAATATAAGGCTTATGGATTCGATATAAAGAACGATATAATTTTCGATTTAGATTCCGTTCGGTGAAATACGCGAAACATTACGTGTAGAAGCTTTCATTAGTATCGTTGTAAGATCGTTTTTCCAATGTTAAATTTACGACTATTGGTCCCGTTTGGATACAGACACGTATCGAAGAACAGTATTGAATACGATTTTTCACGGTTGACAGTTTTAATAAAATGTAAATAAAATTTTATTTTTTAAAATCATAATTTTATGCATCGCTTTCTAAGTTTTTTTATACTTACAATCTATTTTCTTTCGATGATTGTCGATAGTCATTAAATCTAATGTATTTAATGAATCACGCTCACGTGTCTTCACTCCATTCCATCAAATAAAATTGCGAACCGTTATTCCACGGAATGTAACAGTATTACTGGCTGAAGTTTATTATCCTTTAATTATGTCGCCCACAACGGCAACCGTAAATTTGAAGTTGCAGATCTGGTCGTAACCTGGATAAACGTTTTTCACAAGTAAATCTGACCATACTGGTTTCTGAAAACCACTTAATAAATGAATTACATTACCGTTCGATGTTCATTTATTTCTCGTATAATTTTTACGAATCTTGACGAGAGTTTTTCATCTGAAATAATTGAAGTATTATCGGTTGGGAAGCGACTCGTTGATTCGTTATTATCGAAATGGAGAACTTGATTATCCACGGATGTTGAATTTGGAATCGAGTTTCTCGCAAGACACGAGTTTCTCTTCGTGTACTTTCATAAGTATCCACTGTCCGTAACGTAGCGGTCTTCAGGCGGTAATGCAGTTGGCCTCTTTGCCACCAATGGGATAACGAGAATCTCACATGATTTTTATTCTGTTTTCTATCCTTGCGAAATTTTAAAAAATAATTTATTTCAGAAAATTTAAGAAAACAAATTTATAAAAACAATACACTCTTATTTTAAAAACAATACACTTTTTAAAACAATACACATCTTCTAACCTCAACTTCATTCCTGTTAAATAACGAGTTATATATAATGATTACCACTAAAAAAAAAAATGTAAGAAAAGATAAAATAGATTAAATGGTTATTCTTTTATTTTATTCTCACTTATTCGATTTAATTTAAAATATTTTTTAACAACAAACGCGTATATATTATGCACGATGACGTGTTTTGGATGAACATGCATCGACGAGTCGATACTATCGATGTTATCGATAGTTGCGCGTCACGTGACCAGTATCACGTGACGCGATTTAATTTCGATAATCGAAACTTCAATAGTACTTCGGAATTTGTGACGCATTAACGTTTGTCTTTCGTTGTTGTCTTTCGAATCCTTTCAAATAAAAGAACATCGCGTGTCAATTCGTAGTTAAAGTGTGATATAACTTTAAAACGCGTAAATAAGTGACGATATTTAAGTAAGACAACTTGTGTTTCGATCGTATAACACGTTTGTCGTTTAAAACGTATCGCGTCATCGTGTCGCGTCGTGTACGAATTGTAATCGTGTCATTGTATAGTGAAATTTCATTGCGAATAATCCTTTTTTTTGCTAATAATTTATCGAAAAAATAATAGTGCATGTATATTTTTAAACGTGTTAAGTGTTTATTTGTGATTTGGCCGATGGATCGAGACACTATGGATGGATTAGAATATTTCGACGTTTCGAGAATTAGGTAAGGTTAAGACGTTTAATTTTTTGCTATTTTTTTCGATAAATTAAATTTACCTTGATATTTATCAATATTTTAAACGAATTGAGTGAATTTCGATGGAAATGTTTCATTGAACGAATACTCTATGTTTATGTCTGTTTCGTATACGAACTGTTTCAATTAGTTTATTCACGTTCGCGTTATTTTTATTATATAAAGGTTTTTATTAAACCAATGTTCCACGTTTATGCGTATTATTCACGTAGAGAGTTTCAGTCGGTTATATTCACGTTCGTATTTTTATTTATTTACATTATAAAGTATAATTAACTTTTAAAATTATTTTTTTAGAATCATTAATATTTGTTTGTCTTAACGGTACGATTTTATCACGATATCGTTAAAGATGATATAAAAGGATTAATTTATATACGCATTGTATATATATATATATGTATTTCAAATTTCGAATAACTTTCAGCAAAGTTTTAGCAATTCTAATATCACGTAGTGAAATTTTAACGAACTAGCGAAATCACTTTATATACATATATATTTCTTCTTTAAAGTTCTATCTTTCCCCATCCTACCAGAATCTTCTATCCACGAATGAATTATAATCGAAAATACGATGATATCTCTCGTTATTCTTTATCATCTTTTAATAAAAAGATGATTCAGCCGTCCAAATTCCAATTATAATGCAATTTTTTTCTCGCTAAATCACAACGTTTCACAATTTCCATATTATTGTGCGTGGGCTCCGAGACGGAAAGAAGATGTTTAATCTGAACGCGTCAACCTTAATCCATCAAGCTTTTATGGCATATCCTATTCAAAGAGAAGGCAATATTCTTCGGTGGAGCAGCGTGGCTTACACCACCGACGAGGAATAAAATTTCTGGCGGAATCAAGTATCTTGCGAGGAAAAGAGGTCCAATGTCTTGCGTTGGATCATCGATCACGACGCCCAGAAACCCTTTCTGGTCTCGTACACCACCCTCTCGCTCATTGTCAGACAATTTTTCTACCCTTTCCCTTCTTCTTTTCCTCGTAGCTGATTCCAGACAAGGTTGACGCTCGAAACGAATAACTCGATCATGATTAATTGTATAGTAATTTTTTTTTTTTTTTTAATTGATACTTTTTTAAAAAAGTATTATTTCGTCTGTAACGAAATTTCAATTCCCCCCCCCCCCGTCTCCCCAAATATCGTATATTTATAATCGCAATACGTGAATTTTCATTTTTTGCGAAATATTTATATGGCGAAACAAGTTGGACATGGTTTATTCGTTGCTAATTTTTTATCGTATTGCAGTCACGTATGTGAATACATATTACAGTTTTAAATGTAAATATAACAGCTTTTTCTAGTTTACGTATTTTCCTCTTTTTTTATTGCCTATTTCATGGTATTTCTCCCGTGTACACAACATTCGGATACCGTAGAAACATCGATACTATACGAATCTATCGCATACCGTTTATTCAACGCTGATTCAACGACACGCCTTTCGTTGTGTCGACATCGTATCATTCTTTAAACACGACGAAATCCACGGTTCAAGTGTCTAACGATAGAAAAAAAAGGAATCGCGTTTCTCGTAGTGCTGTTGTTTGCAAGGATCTTTTATCGGACACGCGTGACAATTCATCGGGACATCGGGCATCGTGGAAACTCCGATACGAGAACCATTCGTTCCTCGTAATTTCTCGCGCCCCTCATAAATTTCAATTATCGAGCTGTACCAAATACGAGAATCGATCGTGAATCGTGTACTCACGTTCACGGTTACTGCAAACCAACCTCTCGCGTCGAATTTTATCGAGTTTCATCACGCTTCTATCCCCCCTCTCTTCGTTCTTATCTATCCCTTGCTCTCCCGACCGATATCTCCCCCTTCCTCCATCTTTCTCGATGTATTTCACGAAACAAACGCAAGATAGGAAATAAGATTTATAAGGTGGAACGATATAAAGTCTCTAAACCGGATAACCTGCTTATTTTCCTCGGTCTCGATTGATCACGATACACGTGCACAACCGCAAAAAAAGGAAAGTCGACCACAGTCGTGGTGCACGTAGGTAACCCCACCGTTTTCCCTTCCAATCCCAGAAATAACATTGTCTGTACCGCTATACACCCATTAACTTTTTATTTCCTTCCACGGTATGCTCCTTTCCCTCGCCAGTTGCGTATAACTCCTCCGTGAACCCTCCCTCCACCCTTCCACCCTCTTTTCACCTCTTTCTCTCTCTCTCCTCCCCCACCCTTGTCCCCGCCACCCTGTTCGCCTCGTTCTTTTCACCGTTCCTCGGTCGAAGAAGGACGAAGTCGCGTGATGGCATCCCCTACGCTCGGTAAATAAATTGCTTCGACCTTATCAGGAGTAATAGGAGCGCGCACGACACAGATTGGTCGGGCACGCGAATTAAAAGTTACTGCTCCACTGCCTTGCCTCTACCACGAGGTATCGCGAGGAAAAACCTCGAGAGGGGCGCAACAGCGTTTCGTTTCCCCTCCCATCGAGATCTTCGTTGCTCCTCGAAACGAGGAATCCTTGCACACGCGGTTTTACCAGCCCCCCTTTCTCGACACGTCGATCACCATTTCCTCGCGTTAGACTCGCTCCAAGAGAAATCTTTTTCCGACTAAAGGAAATCGAGGCGGTCGCCTTTTCGATTCGTCGCTCCCGATATATTTTCCCCTTCGATCCAACATCGGTTGCTAACTGTCTTACGCGGAAGAAGAAGAAGAACGTTCGAGCTTAAGCTTTTCCATCTTCGGTTTATCCCTCCCTTACTTTCTCGATCCCTCCGTTCGAGAGACGAGGCTCTCGTTGTAAAAATTTGTTCACGCCTGGCGTTCGTTTCGACTTTCATCCACTCGATCTCGTCGTTTTCATCGTTTCTTTCACGGCTATCGCGTGAGTAGAAGAAGAAGAGGAAGAGGTGGAAAAAAAGAAAAAAAGGAGGCTGCATTTACTTCTCTGGCTGATCGATACGATTTTATTGGCTCGGTAAGATTTATCAACACGCTGTTTTGCATATGATTGATTCGCGTCGATCCTCTCGACGATACTGTTTACCCTTCTTCTCCCCCTTCCTATTTCTGTAGCTTCCGTTTGTTCCATTATCGGCCCGTGATGCCATTGTATCGTTCTGTCCCAGACACCGATATTGGCTACGAAATAGTAAGACGTATCCGTTCAATTCCACCACCTTCTTTTCCACGATATCGCCTCCGCGCGATATTTTTCAAATCATCCTGCCAGACAATTGAACCCGTTTATCGAATCCTCCTACGTATTCCTATGCTTCCTATGATGAAAATATGGGGATCGTGGACGATGATTGGGTGGAGTTTGAACGATCGGCACGTTAAATAAATACGCGAACAACGATTCGTACGTGTTTCCTTATTATATTGGAAGTTTGTCGAATTTTTATATTTGCGTTATAAAGTTTTAAACCACTTTTTATCTTAATATCAATTTGATGTTGCGCGGATTAATAGCAAGGATCGATGAAAATAAATTTACATTTGGAATATTTTTCGCTATCGCGCGTTCAAAGATGAAAAATGCTAGATTCACCGACTTTGAAACGTTAATATCGGGAATTCGAAGTCTCTCGACGGAAAAAAAGGAATGACGTTATAACGATCCTGGATGGATATTTCTATATGGTTGTTTCTAGAAATAGAACGAAAGTGACGAAGGATGCGTTTGCCTTAAAAATTGAAAGTAAGGAAAAAATTTAAAGAGTTACATCCATTTCCTCGATCTATAACGAAACTTTGCCTGGAATGGTTGCGGTTACAAATTACGGTTAATTAGATTACGCTCCGTTTACCGCGATGATTGAGATACATCGAGATGAAAATGTTAAACGTCCTGTTCTTTTCTGTTTCAGGTGAGTTGGTAAAACAATCGTATTTGTCATCTACGAATTTTTCCGGGACTAATGGAAACTCTTGCGGTAAGACCTTCCTCTGATTTACTGAGGCCGGGGATACGAATGTGTAGGTGGAGAGGGTTGTCGGGGAGTTGAGTTATTAGCCGAAAAATATGTTTTCGCGGAAACTTTGGATTAAATTGACAAAGGGGCCAAGTTTTCACCTGGTTGCTGAATCGCCCTCCCCCTCGAAATCGTGATTTTGAATTCGCATTAAGGGATTTTAAAACAGGCTTCGACGGATATCGAATAAATTCCTCGTCTAATGGCAATCCATTTCTC